AGAGGTAGGTTTTTTTATTCATTCAAACTTCTTCAAAATTTGGTATTGTTGGTAATCTTACATTCTCATTAATACTTAATACTATTGTTGAATTAAATGGGATAGTTTGAAAATAAAAATAATATTAATTAATAAATTTATAATTTAGATATAAATTAAAAAATTTTCAAATTTAAATATTATATTAAATATTTTATTATAATTTAAAAATTATTTATAATATTAAATTTTTATAAGAAAAAAACCTCAGTTGTTAATAATGAAATCATTTTAATTTCCCTGCTTTGAAAATCCAGTCTAATTTATTAGTTTCAGGCAACATAAAATACAAAAAGGTAGTGTTGATATCAAAAAAGCTTGCATCATCATTCATGCAAATTTTAAGAATCTAGTTCTTGAACACGGTACGAATGTAAGGAAAAGAGAAAGGGAACAGAAATTTGGAAAAGGAAAAAAAGCTTTTATTTTAAAGTTTAATAGTTGGTATAATATTAGTGTAAATTTTTTATTTTACAAATGATATTTAAAAATTAATACATTTTTTATTTTTATTTTTAATTAATTTTTTTAATTTTTAATATATATTAAAGGATATATATCAGTTTCTAAATCTTATTTATAAAATATAAAATTTTCATTATTAATGTACTTGATAATTTTTTATATATTTTTTTAATGTTGATTTTTATTTATTATATATACTTTAGAATTTATAAAGAAAATGATAAAAGTCAAATTATTCCTCCGGTTAGCTTAATTCCACGTATCATTCCTATGGTTTATTACTTTGAAAGTTCACGTGGTAGTTATTAGGGTATAATCGAGCCGAGTCGATACAGTTTGAGCTCAAATTTGAGTTTGATTCTTAATTTTAAGTTCGATACTTGATTTGAATTCGATTGAATTTTATTTTTTTAGTTCGAGTTTGATTCGTGATCAAAATTGAATTACTCAAATTTGTTCGATTAAATTTGATTAATATATTAAAATAAACTCGATTCTTATACTCGATAAAAGCTCGATTATTTATGTTCGAGCTCGAACTCGAATTCGAAATATTTTATTAATTAAAATAATAAAAAAATTTAAATATAAAAACTCGATTAGATTCACAAGTTACTCGAGTCGGGTATAAAAATATTAAAACTCGACTCAATCGATAAGTCGAGTTACTTGAATTCGAGCTCGACTCGATAATAATTAAACAAAATTCAAATTTTATTCGAATCGAATTCGAGTAATTTGTGAGTACTAATATATCATTTATACTCATAGCAAACATTATCGCCGTGGGAATATGTAATTGTCTTTTCCTATCTAATGGGATTTTCCTTCTATAATAAGAAAATATGAATTTAATGAAAATTTTGTTTTAAATTAGTTAGTATGTTATTAAAATTAATGTTTGAAAATAATGTGTAATATTTTTTTAGTCAAATTAATATAAAAATAAGAAAGTTTAATAGTAAATTAATAATTTAGAAAAATGTTTAAAAAGTGGTAATTTTCTTTAGGCAAATTTGAACTTTTTTTCTTAAAGCCAGATACAAATTTGGAGATATGCTCTTAACAATTCAAGCAGTCTAATTTTTAGAGGCAAAGCTTTTATAAAAGCTATAGAGATTTAGTGATCCTTAAATCATCATAGAAATATATATATATATATTTGAGAGAAATTTTAATTATTACTTTTTATTTAAAAGATAAAATGTTCAAGTCTTAGTTTTTAACAACCGTTATATACCATTGTTAAATTAAAATTTTGAATTATTAATTAATTACTCTGAACTTGTTATTAAATTTAATTAGCTTAAGAGAGAATAAATGGGGTAAGTTGGGATCTTCCACCTCTAAGATTCTATTCCCTATATTTTTTAGTTAAACCAAACAAGGCCTAAAGGATAAAGAACAAGGAAACGTTTTTTGGGCATTGGGTGGGCAAATTTTGATGCTTTATGAGATAATAAGGGGCATTAAGTGCTGAGGAATCTCACATAAATAAAAAAGGAATAACCCTCAAAAAAATAAAAGAGAGAAAAAAATAAAAGAGATGATATTTTTTGAGCACAAACAATGCGACAAAGTAAGACACCAACCTCGACGGTTTTTTTTTTTCTTCTTCTTCGTATTAAATAAAATTGGATAACAAAATAAACTTTAATTCTTCTCTCCTTCGTAAAAACCAAACTGTAATTATTAATTACTGTTTCTAAATGAATGTTAAATTCAATGGTTTATTTAACCATGGTATAGTGGTTAGTACAATGTTGGTTAAAGAAAAGATTAATGTTATAAATGATTTTTGAAATTATAGTAAAATATTTATTGTGATATTTAAATTTGAAAATTTGTTATTATAATACTTGAATTAATAAATTATAAATTTATGATATTTGTAATTAATTTCAAATAATTATACATGATGAATAAATAGTATTTATATTAATTAACAAATTTATAATTCATAATAAAAATTTTTAAATTTTAATTATTATATTAAATATTTTATTATAATTTGATGATAATTAATAATATTAACCCGGATTATGGACTATGGGTATGTGAAACATCAGTATCATTCATCAACAATAAAGAAAAAGGTGTATTTGGGGTATATTCCCAAGAAAAAATTAAGGCTAAGTACATGTTTTGACAATTTTTTGTCGACTCAGCTCAATTAAACTTATGAAAGCTCATTTATTGTTTTCAGTAAAAAATATAAACTTGAGTTTTAGATTTAGGGATTAAGATTTGTTTAATCCGAGTTTTAATTACTCAAAATGAAAGCTCTGCGGTTTGAACTCGAAACATGAAAGTATATGTTAATCGATTTGAAATTAATTTTTTATGCATAAATACAAATAAATATATAATAAGTAAATTTAATTGGATGATAGAAAATTTTATCAAATTAATTGAACTTACTAGTGTAAGCTTTCACTATATAATGAAGCTTCAGTTTTTTATACTTCATATTTTTTTCTTAGTTTGTAATTTGATTTTTTGAAAACTGTTAGGGACATTTTAAGGTTTCAAGAGTAAAACGGATCTTTTATTTTAGAGTACAAGTCATTTGTCAAACAAGGATAGTTTAGTTAATTTAACTGAGTTAACGTATTGGATTAACTTGACATTTTAAATTTCACGTCAGATTCGTCACTTTAGTTGACCACCTACTAGTATACGAAGATGTTGATTTGTCATCCCTAAATTAATTTATTGAGTGCTAACTCAATTCAAGCTTATGATATTAACCTTAAATTTTTTGTCTGACACTCAGATTTAAGGATATAATTGATCGAATTTGAATCGATATAATATTAAATTTAAGTTTGAGTTCGATTCAAAATTTAAAGTTCGAAATTTGATTCAAACTTAATTAAATTTTATTTTTTTAGTTCAAGTTCGATTCAAGATAAAAATTAAGTTACTCAAGTTCGTTTGATTAGGTTCGATTAACATATAAAAATAAGCTTGATTTTTATATTCGATAAAAGATAAATTATTTATGATCGAGCTTGATATATTTTATTAATTAAAATAATAAAAATATATTTAAATATAAAAATTTGATTAGGCTCGTAAGTTATTAAAATCGGATATAAAAATATTTGAACTTGACTTAATCAATGAATCGAGTTACTCAAGCTTAAACTTGACTCGATAATAATTAAACTAAATTTAAATTTTATTTGAATCGAATTTGAATAACTTACGAATATTAATATATCATTTATACTCTTATTCGAACAATTTAAATCTAATTTTGTTATTGTACATATATAAATATCACATTTTAATATTTTTAAAACCAATTAAAACTCTAATTTCAAAACTTATCTTTTGTCTTTTTCTCCTTTTTATTCTTTATGCTAACTTGAATGTTAAAATATAAATGTTGGATAAACTTTCAACTTTTATCGTTAACAGATTTTCCTCTTTTATACTTCAAAGTTTTTATCTTGTAAACAGCTCGATACCGTTAGAAACTCTAATTTCGACTAATATTAAAAGCTTTCGACATCGATTAAGTCAAGAAAAAAAATATTTTTAATCAATCGTTATGAAAGTGACAAATAATATATACAATTATATTATGCCCTAATAACATTGACATGAAAAAGATCATTAAATAAAATAAAATTTTCCTTTATTCAATATTAATTAAGCTTACTTATGAGTTTAATTTTTTATGTAAATATCAAACCGATCGCCACCTGCTTATCTAATATACTTACATACTTCTAATATAAAATAAAATAAAATTTTAATTTAGGTTCATAATAACTAATTTGCATACCAAAATATTAATATTCATATATATATATATATATGTTCATGTATTTAATCTCCAAAACTATATAATCATCTTACAATGAGGTGTAATGAAATCTGCTTTTGTCATGAGACCTTTGAACTATGGCTGGACATCATAATTGATGACCATGTATGTAATGTAAGTATGTTCATTCCTTCATTGATTTAACCATGCTAAAAATTAAAAAAAAAAAAGTCCAATAATTTTTTTACCCAATTCACTTTTAAATAGATATGATAATTTTTAAATATGATATGATAATAAAATAAAAATAAGATAAAAATAATATAATTTAAAATTTTAATAAAAATTATATGTGTTTGATAAAAACTAAAAAAAAATATATTTTATACTTGATGTATGACATAAATTATAAAATAATAATTTTTATATTTTATATATATTTGATATCAAATAAATACATGAATGATTAAATCTATTCTAAAAAAATAAAAAAATTTAAAGTCATAATTGATATCAAAATTATACAAATATTTAATATAATATATAGATTTTAAAAATAATCAAAAACATCTTTCAAATATCAAATTAATTAATAAATTTATAATTTAAATATCATACTAAAAGTTTTTAAAATTTAAATATAATATTAAATATTTTATTATAAATTAAGATAATTAATGATATTAACAAAAAAAATTAAAATTAAAATGACAAAAAAAAAAAAAAGTGAGAAAGATGAAAGAAGCAAAGGAAGCCACGCACGCGGAGAGAGGACTTGTCCAGAGCCTGGGTTTGAGTTGAAACACGTGCAGAAACGGCCGTGACCTTTTTGGCGGTTTCGCTTCCTTGGGGCCGCAATTCCTAAACGGCGACTCCCTCCCTTAGCCGTCGTAGAACCACCTTTTCTTCCCTCTCTGTTAAAAAAAATTATTATTGAAAATTTAATCTTTTTTCCCAAACTTGTATAAATCCACTTCTCTTTAAGTCTTAACCCATTTTTTTATGAGCTTTCTCTCAAAGTGAATATAAACTATCCCCTGAGAGAGAGAATCTGCAGCAAATTGAGCTTTTGTTTTTTTTTAATTTGATTCTCAGAGATAATTGAAGGGCACCATAGCTAAAAGCTTCAGCCTTTGTTAACCAATTTGTAAGCCGTTTTTTTCCTTCCCTTTTATGATGGTTTCTGGGTTCTTTATAACTTTCTCAATTCCATTGTTAAAGCATACGATTATTTTCTATTTGTTTTATTTTGTGTTGGTTTTCCTTTTCTGGGTAGTTCTCATTTTTTTGAAATAAAGACGAAAATTTTTTCTCAAATGACATTGATTTCAGTGGGGGGTAGATCTTTCTTTTGGCTTTTTTGGAGCCAATTTAGATTTGGTTTTCATTGTTGATTTGCTATAAAGTGTGGCATTTTATTGACTCTTGATAAATTTATTTTCTTTTTCCACTTTTTTATCTTTTTATATCTCTACAGGTGTGAATTTAAAAGATCTAATTTTTGGATAATTGTCAGTGCTCATTAATGGGGTGGATTTCTCTGGCTATTCAGCTTTGCAAAGAGTACCAATTTGTAAGTTTTATTTATTTATTTATTTGTTTTGAATTCTTGGTTTTGGTTACAAGATTGTTCTTGCTATGCATGTTGTTTCTGATGATAAACAAGGCTTATGATCTGTAATTATGGAAAATGGTTGCATTGTTTTGATTTTGCGCAGTTTTAGGTTGATAGAACTGTCCCATGCTTTTTCTTTTAAATCGAGTTCTTTTTGGAATTCCCTGCCATCTATATGAATAGGGTGTTATCCGCTTTCCGGCCATTGGTTTCTGCAGAGATTTTACATTCATTTCTTTTTTGGATTTTATGGAATTCTATATATGTGAATTGGTGATGTTATAATTCTTCCAAAATTTGCATGTTTAGCTAAATAGGTATATCTTTGTTCATGCAGTAACTGAGGTTTGTCATTTTCCTTATTGACTGATCATTTTTGCATTTCAATATGATGAAGAACAAAGGAAACGTCTCCGATGCTTGGATTATCTAATCCTGAGATCATGTTGGAGGGCCCATCATATCTTGGCTCAAGGGATTTGCCAAGCCCCTGCGAACAAGAGAGCAAGTGGATTTATAATACTTTTCATGTAATCAAGCTCTCAAGAAGCAAGCGCCAGATGGAAGATGGAGAAGATCAAATGGCAAGAAAAGTTCTCAAGCCATTTGAAGGTGATGGGAACGAGGAAAAAACGGAGGATATGTCCCTTGCCCAAATTAACCACTGCCATGCTGGGGATCATTCAGAATTAGGTTTACTGATCCACCAGCTTGGGCGAGACATCTCAATTAGCTGTCTCCTACGCTGCTCAAGGTCTGATTACAATGCCATTGCATCTTTGAATAAGGGTTTCCGCTCTGTCGTTAGGAGTGGTGAGCTGTACAGGTTGAGACGCGAAATGGGAATTGTTGAACATTGGGTTTACTTCTCTTGCATCCTTCTGGAGTGGGAGGCTTTTGATCCAATTCGTCACCGATGGATGCATTTGCCCAGAATGACCTCCAATGAATGTTTCAAGTGTTCTGATAAGGAGTCATTGGCAGTTGGGACCGAACTTCTTGTTTTTGGAAAGGAAATAATGTCCCATGTTATTTATAGATATAGCATTTTAACGAACTCCTGGTCATCTGGGATGAAGATGAATACACCCAGGTGCTTGTTTGGATCGGCCAGTCTGGGTGAAATTGCAATTCTGGCTGGTGGTTGTGATCCATGTGGAAATATTTTGAGCTCAGCAGAGCTTTATAATTCGGAAACTGGCAAGTGGATGACCATACCAAGCATGAATAAAGCAAGAAAAATGTGTTCTGGTGTATTTATGGATGGGAAGTTTTATGTTATTGGTGGAATTGGGGTTGGGAATTCAAAAACACTGACATGTGGGGAGGTGTATGATTTGAAGACGAAGACGTGGCGGGAGATACCTAACATGTTCCCTGCACGAAATGGGGGGGCTGGAGCAACTGAAGCACCTGCTGCTGCTGAGGCACCTCCTCTAGTGGCAGCTGTAAATAATGAGCTGTATGCAGCTGATTATGCACAAAAAGAATTGAGGAAATATGACAAAAAGAAGAATTTGTGGGTCACGCTAGGGCAATTACCTGAGCGAGCAGTCTCAATGAACGGCTGGGGGTTAGCCTTTCGGGCTTGTGGGGATCGGCTAATTGTTATTGGCGGACCTAGGGCTTTAAGTGAAGGGATGATCGAGCTAAACTCTTGGGTTCCAAATGAGGGCCCACCAGAATGGAACTTGCTTGCGAGAAAGCCCTCTGGCAGTTTTGTGTATAACTGTGCCGTGATGGGATGCTGAAATGTGCATACAGTTTTGGTCACAGTATCTGCTGTATGAAGTCCTTTTCTACTGGAACTTACAGCTGTGTCCTTCAAGGAGAAAGGTTTCTGGAGAGTGGATAATCTCTGCCTTCCTTTTGGAGGAAATTTCATGTTTTAATTTAGATCCATAGATACCATTATAGGAGGAGGTCAGGAGATTTCTCGGCCTTTTTAGTTTTATCATGTTTCATTGTTTTGGGTCTTTTTTTCCTTGTCTTTTTTCTTTTTCCTTGTTGGGTTCGAGAGTCATTATTCTACTTGGTTACCATCAGGTTTGTCAAAAGGCGTCATGTAGAACATGCATAGTTCAATAATTTCAAGTTCCAGTGCATTTTACGTTGTTTTCAATACTCACAAAGTTTCTTTCAGCCAAATGTCAATTCTCTCATGTTTATCAATTACTAGGATAATATGTTAAAGACTTTAGCAATGGCCTACCATCTCCATTCCCCCACCCCCCAAACCACCATCTACCCCCATTTCGCACCCGGCCAAAAAAATAAGAAGAAAGATTCTTTAAGCTAAAAAGCTTAACTTTTCAGTTTGCAACTAACTGCTCCTTCTTTTTTTGTTATTGTTTATACAGCTGCTGCTTCTTTTTTTGTTATTGTTTATACATATATGATATATCATCATATTTATTTCAGTTGAGGACTTCTTGCAAGATTAGTAGATTTTAAACTCATTGTATCATTGCATTAATGACAATCTAATCTGGATTGTGTTTTACGTAGCTCTGTTGTTCATGACAAAGTTGTAAGCCGTGGGCATTCAAGTTCCTCCCCCTACAGTTTAATGTGCAAGCTTCTAGTAGGAACGTGAAAATACTTAGCAGGAGAAGATAAAGGATTTATTCTCTATTTGGTTCATATAGTATGCTAATATTTTGGTCAGTTTTAAGAGCTTGCAGAGAACAAAATTTGAAATAGAAAAGAAATAAAAGATTGTTAATTTTCCATATTAAAAAGTGAAAATTTCACAAAAGAACCAAAACAGAGTATACATAATTTATTAGGGGAGATATTTATGTATTAACAAAAATCTAGAAAGAAGAAATATATTTCTAAGATCAATAAATACATCAGGTTTGGTAAGTTTGAAAACAGGGATAACATTTGGTTGATATGATATGGATAAACTTGTAGGAAGGTTACATATGAATCTTGTCAACTTAACCCAGCCTCCCAATGGTGTTAAATGTCTAGGAGTGTATAGCTTTGCCTTCAGTGAGTCAAGGAACCCACCATAACTTCCTTTAGCTTAAAATACATTAGGAGGGAAAATAACTTCTCAATGAAAATTTTAGGTCAATTTTATAATTCATTCTCATATCGACATTCAGATGGTATTTGTCGAGGAAATTTTCTACTGTGCTATTTTATTTCTGTGTACAGTATGAATACATCATGCTTTCTTGCATGTAATAATTCAATTGGCTTTTCTAGCACCAGAACTTGAAGAAATTTTCATTAGGCTTCAATCTGTACTGTTGCTTTGGCACAGTGTCATTTTTCAATGAGGTTTAATGTCTTGGTTTAGCCTTTTTATATCATATCTCAAAAATACAGGACACCTGTTCTCGAATTTCCTGCAAATGTATGAGCCTCAGGCAATAAGCAAACTATCTTTTGTGATACTGTTGATGGGACATGTTTGGAAAGAGTTTCTTTCCAATCAATATTCTCTAGAATTTAGAAGATTGTGGCAACTATCACTTCCATGTATGTCTGATTCTGTTGACTCTTTGGTTGCAAGCATGTAGATGGATTTGGATGATAACATTTTGTGATGTTGCACTTCGCATCCTAACAAATTTGCACATTTCATTATTGTTTTATTAGGTTGCATTATTCTTTATCCACAATTGATTGCAAAAGTATATTATGCATTGCTTACTTCATGGATTTATGACTTCAGTTATCTTTCAGCATAGAATTTTTCATTTACAGAAGGATGCATCTGACAGCAATTGCTATGAATAACCAATCATTAGCTATATTTAATGTGAAAAACTTTTGTAGATGTTTGTAAATTGTAACTCTGTATTTATTTGTTAAAACCTGCTTTTTACTTCTTGTGACTTTGCTTTGGGGTACTGAGATGAGATGCTAGCATTTTTTTATTTTACTTCCCTGTAACATAATCAAAGCTGAGGATTTGTCAATATGGTGAAGATATCTGTTTCTGTTCTATGGATTGAACAATATGTATCTGATTTTTTGGAAGTGATCATTTGAAGTAGGAACTTTTAAATGACCAAAGTGATAAACGATGCATAATCAATTGCAAAGCAATACCTTATACCTACATACAAAAAACTCTGTTACAGGCTTGCAAGATCGAAGGGCTTGGTGCTGTCTCTTTGACAATTTACCTGTAATTTCTGTGTTTTTCAGGGAGGAAAAAGATAAAAGCTGTGAGAAGATCAACATCATAAGAAGTAGACCACAATAACCTTACTATTTTTCCTTTCACTTTCCATCTGTACTGCATGTCACCAAAAATGGCATTAATTTGCTTTTTCCGGATTCATGTCATGATCTGGGACATCAGATGTACCTGAGAACAAATTAGAAAGGTTGGCCTATTTGGTTGGATGGTATTTTAATGCACATGAGAAGAGAAACTGCCGAGAAGGAAAGTTTTGTTGTCTTATATTATATATGGTTGAATTTCCTATTATTGATAGCTAATCAATGAAAATTTCTGTCTATTGATTTGAAATCTTTTACCATGCAAGATTTATTGTTTCATTATGTTTGGCACAAATATATTGTTGCATTTGCATATATAGTGTTTGTACAGATATATGGTTCTGTGTTTCTCTCCTATGCTGTTTACTTTTATTATGTTTGGTGAAGGTTTTTGGGCTGTCCTTGATTGGACTTCTGGTTTCGGCATTAGTTATCCAGGTTAAGTTCTAATTATCATAATTAAGGATACACGATCATGATAATTAATTACTAATAAACATGTTCCTCATCTTGTTACTCGACATGCATCAGTTTGATATGAGGTTTCTGTTAGTTGCAAGGTTCGAAATCAGGGGAGTAAGGGAGCTGTAGAGTTTCTTCATGTTCTTTCTTTTCTTCTCCCAACGAGAGAAAAGAAAAAAGGAAGGAAACACTCAATATCGAAAATGGCTTAAGATTTTTTTTTATACTTGGGTTGTTAGGATTTGAACCCTAGATCTCTAGAATTAAGAGTCAAATATTTTATCAATAGATTTATCAATAGATTATACGATTATTTGAGATTTATGATATTTTTAACTGTACTAAATTGCTACCAAGTAAGAAACACCTTTTTAGTTGTGCTTGCTGGCTTTTGCTGCAAAGGCAAGTCTTTTCTTCGCTCTCACCAGCTGCACCAAAAACAAAGGTAAAATTGAAAAAGAAAAAAGATGGATCTTTACTTGGTCCCAATGAGAAACAGTAAAGTACAGCAAAGGAATACGGTTTCTTTAGTTAGTTTGTGGGGAGAGGCAGAGGCAGAGGGGTTAGGCCTTGAGCATGCTGCCTGCAGTGGGGTGGGGGTGGGGGGCTCACATGGATGGTGGTCTACATGATGCTGCATTAACACATCTCTGCTGTGCGTTTTCTGCTTGTGAAGTTGCCGTTTAAACTTGGATGTTCAATCTGTTCTTTGTTTGATGACTTAATTGAAAGCCAAAAAAACTGACAACCTTTTGCTTTTGCTGCATTGGTATTTCTCTTTTACTATTTGTGTGCTGCTGAAATTTATGTTTCTACCTTTTATTTTAACGGGGTTTTCTTTCTTTTGGTTTGGTGAAAATTTTGGACTATTTATAACCTCATCATTTTACAAAAAAAAAAAAAAAAAAGCTAGATCATTTCAAAGGTGAGGTTCTTCTCAAGATCCTTTTAGAAATAACAAAGTTATCAAAGCCTTGTCTTTCACCTCTTGACCTAGTAGTTAAGAAGCTTTAAAAAAGACATGTGGGTGTGGGTTTTAATCTCGTCATCATCCTTTCCCCTTATACAAACGTTTACTTTTTTATGAACCAAAAAAAAAAAAAAGTTATCAAAGTCTTCAAAATTTGTGACAACAAATATGATAAAATAATTTTAATCTAATTGATTATGATTTATTATTTTTTTATTGAAGAATTGTTTTTTAAATAAGGGGTTAGGTTGAAAATTGATTGGGTATTTAAAACAAATTAGGATTGAATTGAAGGCAAATTTTAGAATATTCCACTTTTACCTCTTTTAAGATATTTATAAAAATATATATTTTATTGTTTTATTTAATTATATATATATATATTAATAAATTTATTATTTAATATTATAATTTAAAATATTTTGGATTAAATGTGGGTCAAACTTAAATTAGACATATATTAGTTAGATCAAAAGCGAGTGTAAAAATAATACATATATGAGAAATTAAAAGTAAGACTTCTCCTACTTTTCTTTTTCCTCAATCAGCTTTTGCAGAGGGAGAATTTTTTTTTCCTTCAGATATGGTTTCATCTTCAGAAGTATCTTCATTTTTGACAATTGGATTAGTTGTCAGAATATTAAAATTGTCATTTACCGTTTCATCTTCACTACTTTTTTTGGTTGTGTCATAGTTTAGCATATAGTGATAATTATATTCTTTGAAAAGATCTTTATGTGTTTTATAAAGTTTTTCAATTTCTTGGAGATATTCGACCTTTTGTTTAGAGTTGTTGTTGGTTCATTTTTAGCTTAAAATTTTCAATAAGATATTTATAAGATTTCAAGTCCATAAGGTCTTGGTTAAACTTAGAGGATGATGATGGTTTATCATTAGAGGCTAAGATAGTATTTCCATAAAATAAAGATCCAAAATCAGTAGTTTCTTATTTTTGTTCTGTTTTAGTAGAAATATTATCAATTTTTTATTTAATATTATCAATTTTTATAAAAGAGTTTTTTAAAAAAAGAAGAACAAAGATCAATAAAACAATTTATAATTCTATTTATAGCAATATTATGTGATTCACAGATCTATATGCAAACTATGATTATAAGTTTTATCTTTACAGATACAATTATCTTTTTCATTTTGTTCCATATTTTAGGGGCTTAAAACTAGTGCCAGATTCTTTTAAAAGCTTTATAAAAGCCAGTTAACTAAGATAACTCAAGCCACAAATACCAATAAAGAAACCAAGAAACTAGGTGAAATAAGCTTCAAAACATGAAATAGAAACAAAAGAGATAAACATAAAAGTAAAAAAAACTTAGAAAGATAGCTTGCTTCGATATATATATCTAAATGATTACAAAAACAAACTATGTGTTAGTATGTAGGCTCTGATATCATTTATAGAAAAATAAAAAAAAAGAAAGAGATAGAAGAAACTTTATATTGGTGGAGTGGAAGAAAAAAAGTTGAGAGAGAGTGCAGTAAAAAGCTGCTAGAAGACTTTGCCTTAACAAGTTCAGTGAGTGTCTATTTATAGACAAAAATTTAATATATGGTAATTGACTCAATAGTAACTAACTATAGTATCTACAGTGACAGTTGTCTATAACAATAACTGATTGTTTATCTTTTTAATATTGCTAACTGTAGTTGATTGCTATCTGTCTGCTGTCTATCTATGGCTCCGAACCAAGCTATTTTGACTTGTCGGCAGGCACTGTGAGCTTATTTTTACTTGGAATAGCATATCCTTCTTGTATGTTATCCATGTTAAATCCTTCTTCATTTTTTTGGATTAAAAGACTGTGGTGAATTTATCCTAGATTTATTCCACATCTGTCACCCTTCTTGATATTGATAAAAAAGATGCTGAGGGTGATCAATATCTTTTATTTCAAAAAGTATTCTAAATAGATGTATTGCTTCTGGTTCTATTGAAACATTTTGAAGTTCTGCTTCAGAGTAAACATTTTTTGCCCAAATTCTTTGACCATATGTTTGAAGGAAATATTTTAGAAATAAAGAACAAAGAGTTTTTTGAAGAATATTTTTACTATATTCCATTATATTAATTCCTATTTGAAAATAATATGGAGATGAATTGGAATACTTGTGAATTGCTTGATTTAGTAGATTAGGATTTTCAATAGCTTCTGTTGGTTGTTCAGTAGGAGGGCCAAAAACTAGTTTTTCAACTTCCCAGATTTGATATGGCTGATAGAATTTTTTTCTTATAAAAGATCCTATCAGGCTATAAATGTTAATGTATATGTAGAAAAAGAATCGATCGTTTTTTACGTATCGATGGAATTGAGAATTAATGAAAGCTGGGAAACTAGCAATATGTTGGAAAGAAAAATTTTGAACAATTATTTCTCCAACAAGACCCATTTCAATGCTTTTTACATCGAATGTGTCATGATCGAGTTTAAACTTTATTTTAGGAAGTTTTTCTCCTAAAACAAAGGTTTCAAGATATAGAGAAAAGTAATATTCAAAGAATTTTTCATGCAATAGTTTTTTTGTTTGTAAAATTATGTGTCTATTGATTTATTGAAATATTTCTTTTGGTAAAAGAATAACAGCTTTTTCAAATAATAAAACTCTTGTTAATTTTATTATTTGAGAGCAATTTCGATTATTGAAATATTTAGAAAGTTCTAAGAAATTATTTATTTCTTGAATCGACTATTGGTTTTCTTCAGTTGTAAAAAAGTCAACATCCTGTTGTTTTAGCATATATAAAGAATAGAGATTTTTGAAAACCAATTCATCGAATTATTATTTTTCTTTAGTTTGGTTGACTAGAAATTTAGCGAGTTTGGTCATCTTTTTTTGAAATACAGATTTGTTTTCTAATAGATGGGACTTTCAAATATGATTAAGTAATCCATAAGTCTCTGGGTTAAGATCAGGATTATAAAAATCTTTAACTTCAAAACTCTGTTTGAGTTTTTCAGTTTGTTTAAAAATTTGAGAATAAGAAACAGATGTCCATTGATTTGGATCCTATGCAAATTAAGAAAAAGTTTGTATTATTGGTTGTAAATAGCTTTTAGTTTGAAAGCATGTATAGGCCTATGAGAAAGAAGATGTGGAAGATATCCATGAAAAGGGTAAAGAAAAGGTGTAAATCCTAGGTTAAGATTTTGAAAAGATGATGGACATGAGGAGGAAGATGAAGTGACCTTTTTAGTCTATTTCTTCTGGATAGTTCTCCATACTTCCTGCTGCTGTGGAGGCTTTTTACCTTAATCCATTTGGTCTGTTTAAAAATTTGCAAAAATTTTTTTATCTCTATTAATGAATTCGATAATAAAATTATATTGGCATAAGAAATTATACCATCTTATTATCCTGGGATTATCAGATAATTTTTTATTTTTAAGAAAATCTCTAACAAATTAATTATATGTTCTGATAATAAAATTTTCAGGAGTAAGGAATATATGAAATTTATTATTGCATTTTTTATGGCAAGTAACTTTTTTTCAAAAATAATATATTTGATTTTGTTTGGCTGAAATTTACCAAAATTATAGTCATAAATCAATTCATTTTTTTATGAAGATTTTTAGCTTTAAGGACATATCCCCAATGTTCATTTGAGGAATTTGTTTCTAAAATTAAAAGATCACCTTGTTTAGGTAAATAAACTTTAGGAATGTTAATGAGATCAAATTTTATTTATTTAATAATATCTGAATCTACAGAGGACCAAAAAAATTCAACATCTTTTTTAAGTTTTTCTTGTAAATATTTCTTTCTTTTTGAAAGATTTTTGAAAAATTGTCTACCATAGTTAAGTAGACCAAAAAATTGTTGTAAATATTTTTTATTTTCAGTTGTTTTGGAAAATTTTTTATTTTAACAATAATATGATCTTGTAGTGTAAGACCGTTATTGGAAAGATTTAATCCTAAAAATTTTATATCTGCTTTTTCTAAATAATCTTTTTTGGACTAAGTATAATACCATGTTGTATAAATTCTTGAGAGATACAATTCAGGTGTTTCCTGTGATTGTATAGATTTTCAAAAAATACTAAGATATCATCTATATAAATACAATAGTTTTGTTAATGTTTAGAAAATATTTTATCCATCCACCTTTGAAATATCTGAGGGGCATTACATAATTCAAAAAGCATTACAGTCCATTGATAATGGCCTGTAGAAGCACTGAAAATAGTTAGTGGTTTTGACTCTTTAGAAAGTATGATTTGCCAAAAACCTGATTTACAATTGAATTTTGAGAAATATTTAGCATTTTTTGCTAAATTGATTAAAACATCTTTTGGTGGAATAAAATATCCATCAAAAACAAGATTTTGATTTAACCTCTTTTAGTTGATTACCATTCAAGGTTTTTTATGTTTTTGTTTTGCATGATTTCTTACCAAGAATGCATGACTGCAATAAGAACTATTAGTTGGTTCTATTAATCCTTTAGATAAGAGATCAAAAATTTGTATTTCAAATTCATCTACATCTTGTTTAGTGTAAATTATTGGTTTAACCCTAATAATTTTGGTGGAATCTACTATTTGTAGTTCACAGAATCTAGGGCTTCTAGATCATAACTTTAGTGGTTATTCACTAAAATTTTTGCACTACTATTTGTATTCATTCGGTTGGTTCGATTAATATCAAACCGAACCCAAAATCGAATTATGTTATTTTATTTTCATTAATTGAATCAAATTTTTTAATTTCAAAAATTAATTGATTGAAATTAATTCTGTTAATTTGATTAATGTTTTTTGATTAATTGAATAATAAAATATATTAAGTTAAATTATATTTTAAAGTTTAATTTCTCATATGTGAAACAAATTAAAAAAAATTATCTAACAAAAATATTCAACTATAAAAATATTAAATTAAAAACTCTAATAACTTAAAATGAAATGGATAATTTATATATTTTTAGTTATATATATATATATGCTTTATTATATATCGATTAAAATTTTGGTTAATATGGTTTTCAAATCTAATTAACAAAAAATTAAAATTTCTCTAAAATTATTTTAATAATTAACAAAAATTAATTCGTTAACCGATCAATTAATCGAATTAAATTAGTTTGATTAATTAATTTAATTAAAATTAAATTATGAATATCCTTATAACGATATCATATTAGAGTTAGATAAAATTTTTTTAAAGTTGAATTTGATAAAAATCCATCCTGACTCGATTCATTGCTATCATTAATTTTTTGCCTTTACCAATTTATGTGACATTTGATTTAATAATTTGGTTCAATAATTGATTTAAGCGTTTCTCTATTAAAAAAATGTAGCTTGATTAATTTTTCCTTAGTTTTAAAGTTAAAATAGTTTATCTTTTTCATTTATTGTTGTTTTCGCCCTTTCTTTTTTATTTTTTATCTGAATTTATGATTTTTTTCTATTAGAGTGTATATTTCAATTTTCTTTTAACAACATTAACTTGAAAATTAATAAAAAAAAGTACTGCACCTTCATTTTTTTCACACCTCAAAATTTTTTTAAAAAATTTTAAATGAAATTATTTAATTAATTTTTTCATAACTTTTTGAAGTTTTATAATTTTTTAAAAATAAATTTTTAAAAAATTATATGATTTTCATAAATTTATTTTCGAAAACTTACATGAAAAAAAATAATTAAATAATTTTACTAACAAAAAATTAATAAAAAAAAAAGTCCACGCCTCCTTTAAAGCCTATCTGGTATTGGGTTGACCCGATACAAACCCGAATTCGAGCCCTTTTCTCTTTTGGTAAGAATTGGACTCAGTATCTCCGCCATGGACGCAACGAGTCAGCCGATTCTGGTACACTTTCTCTCCAAATAGGAACTTCGTAATTACCAATTCCTATCTAATTTCCCTCGCCGTCCAACTCCTGCATGGTTTGACCCGAAATGGACTCTTTGCAAAGTCTCCCTGAACTCTCGAGTCTCTCCACCTCGGCCTCTTCCATCCTCAACGCTAAACTCCGCACCGACTACGACCTAACTCAAGCACCGAGTCTCGTCTCTGAGTTTCTGACTCAGTGCGATGATTTGGACCGAAGCCTAATCCACCTCAATCGCACCCTCGAATCAAGAATCGCATCTTACGCTTCCTTCTCCGATCGCGTTGGCAACCTCTTTGGCGATGTGAATTCGAAATTGACCGATCTCGGCTCCTCCTTTTGTTCTCGGAGCTCCCTTTCAGGTTCGAGCCAATTTAAAGTTTTGACTTTGATATTGATTTTGTCTAATTTTGTTGGAAAGTTTAGGCATATTTTGGAATTTGTGCCACGGATAGCATCGGTTTTATTTTATTATTATAATTTTTCTTTGTGTAAACTGATTTGTTATAGATGGAGAAGGATTGGGAGAGGAGCTGCCGGCATTGGCGAAGGAGGTGGCGAGGGTGGAAACTGTCCGAGCATATGCAGGTGAGGGTTCTTAAAGATCGTAGCTTATTGGAATTCTGAACTGCGGATTGAATCTAAAGAAAGAACAAAATTTGATTCTTTTGGATAACCTAAGAATTATTATTGTTTATATTTTTTCTGGGATTTCAGTTGTGTTTCAATATAAAATAAAGGTGGTTTTGTTGTTTCAGTGGTTGAAATTAAGGTAAATTTATATTAGGCTCAGTTTGTTTGATGCTTTGATTTGTGTTTCTTTTGGGTCTATCAATGGTGGTCTAGTCTTTTAGCCACCAGTGACACATTTGCTTATATCTACCTTGCAGCAAAATTTAGCAATTGGGTGTAATGAGTAAAAATTATATTTGGTGCATAGGTTGTAGTCTTATTTGTTCAGTATCCTTATAGAATCCTGATATTTAATAGATTGATTAATGTGCTGCTGATAGAGTTATTGTGTCATAAGTGTGCCTTTTGCTGCTAAGTGCATGGTTAGGATGGTTTAGTGATACAGATATCACTCTTGCAGCTGCTGATTGGGATCTACTGATCTCTTTTTTAAGCAAAATTGTATTTATATCAGTGAATGTTGTTTGTTGAAACCAGTTAGCTATTTCTTAATGTTGTTCATGTTTCAAATTGATTATACAAAGGTGCTTATGCTGGGCCACATGCACCTGTACTTCAATTTCTAGTTAGATCTTTGATCAATAATGTTGTTTGCATCAATTGTGATGTATGGTAGAATCTATGTAACACACTCATGTCATGTCCGTTGTTGCTTTAGATTTCTATGCTTTTTGATATGGTATCATCCAATAATTGTTCAAATACAGACTCTGTTTTGATTTGAGAACAATGAGGCTAATCATAAAATGAAGTGGTACATCATGATTGGTCCAATGAAGCTAAATATCTTTTTGCTGTGTCAACTATAGATGCTCATTGGTCCTGTAGAACTTTCTTCGTACTATGCTCTTTTCTTGCTTTTAGAGTACAAGATGACATAATCTTATGCTAAAGATGTGACTATTTCTTCATGAAATTGGATGAAGAGGATTGATTTGATTGGAAAAGAAACTAGTTAGCTAGATCTTCAGAATAATGCAGCCAAATCTTTCTTATATTTTAATTTTAGCTAGATTTTCCCTTCTGTTGTTTCCTTTTGTTGCCTCTGCATACAAGTGTGATCTAGCACTCTCACCCATCTTTTTTTTTTTTCTTTTAAAACAATCTTTCTTCTCAGAGATAGCGTCAAAGCTTGATAATTTAGTTGGTGATATTGAAGATGCTGTGTCTTCTACTATAAACAAAAATTTAAGAAAGGATTCCACACAAAATTCAGAAGTAAGCATCCCATCAGAAAAATACCACACACACACTCTTATGGAAACTATTTTCTTGCATAAATCTTTAACTTTCTTAATGTTGCAGGAAATCCGCCTGGTTGCTATTAAAACACTCAAACTGACAGAAGACTTGTTAACTTCAGTCACAAAGGCACGCCCCCAATGGGCACGTCTAGTCTCAGCTGTTGATCACAGAGTAGATCGAGCTCTAGCAATATTAAGACCCCAGGCAATCGCAGATCATCGAGCCCTTCTAACATCCCTTAGATGGCCACCACCACTTTCCAATTTGACTTCCTCAAGTCTGGATACAAGGAAATCAAATGAAGTCCCAAATCCTCTTTTTACAATGCAAGGTGATCTCAAACACCAGTACTGTGAAAACTTTCTTGCCCTGTGCCGCCTGCAGGAGTTGCAGAGACAAAGAAAATCTCGGCAACTTGAGGGCCATAATTGGGAGGTTGCTCTTCACCAACCACTTTGGGCAATTGAAGAGCTTGTCAATCCTGTATCTGTTGCATCCCAAAGCCATTTTTCAAAGTGGATTGATAAACCAGAATTCATTTTTGCTCTGGTGTATAAAATTACACGGGATTATGTTGATTCTATGGACGAGTTATTACAACCATTGGTTGACGAAGCAATGCTAACTGGGTACAGTTGTAGAGAAGAATGGGTTTCCGCTATGGTAGCCTCCTTATCAACATACTTGGCTCAAGAGATATTCCCTATCTATGTTGGTCAACTGGAGGAAGAGAGTGTGACTGGTATCAGATCACAGGCTAGGACATCTTGGCTCAACCTTGTTGACTTGATGATCTCTTTTGATAAAAGAATAAAGTCTCTTGTAGAACAGTCTGGGATCTTGCTTTCCCTTAGGGAAGATGGGACTCTGTGTAAGATTTCCTCTGCCTCTGTCTTCTGTGATCGACCGGACTGGCTTGATTTATGGGCCGAAATAGAGCTAGCTGACACAATGGAAAAACTAAAACCAGAGATGGAAGAAGAGAAAAACTGGACTAAGAAAGTTCAGGGGGCAGTGCTTTCTAATTCTGATGATTATAAGTGTCCTGCAGTTTCCAGCAGCTTTTTTCAGTGTTTATCATCTTTGATTGATCGATGTCGATCATTGCCTACAGTTTCCTTGAGGTCAAGGTTTTTGAGATTAGCTGGTACACCAGTCATAAAAAAATTTTTGGATTGCTTACTTCTCAGATGCCAAGAAGCGGAAGGATTGACTGCCTTAACAGATGATGATGCTCTAATCAAAGTTGCAAACTCCATTAATGCAGCTCACCATGCTGAATCCATTTTAAAAGAATGGTGTGAGGATGTTTTTTTCCTTGAGATGGGATTGGATCAAGGTGATGACCTTGGAGAGTCTATTGCTGAATATGGTGGTAGCAAGGTTCCAATTGAAGATTATGGAAATGGTATTTTTCATGAGGAGATTGTTAACTATGAGGATTTCAGAACACAGTGGGTTGAGAAGATATCTATAGTTGTTTTGAGAGGATTTGATGCCCGATGCAGAGATTACATGAAAAACAGGCGACAATGGCAAGAAAAGAGTGAAGAAGGTTGGACGGTATCGAGAACATTGGTTGGGGCCCTGGATTATTTGAAGGGGAAAATGTCAGTAATCGAAGAAAATTTAAACAGGCTAGACTTTGCTGGGATCTGGAGGAGTCTGGCAGCCGGTGTAGATCGATTGATTTTTAATGGCATACTTATGAGCAATGTGAAGTTTCACGATGACGGAGTGGAGAGATTCGGGTATGATTTAGAGGTCCTATTTGGTGTTTTCAGGGCGTGGTGTCTGAGGCCCGAAGGTTTCTTCCTGAAAGCAAGTGACGGGTTGAAGTTGTTGAAGATGGAAAAGAAGCAACTTCAAGGTATCCCGACAGGAGGGGAGAAATGGATGAAGGAGAATGGAATTAGGCATTTGAGTGTAGCTGAGATTGAAAAGATTGGGAAGAACAGAGTATTTACAAAGTAGAAGGATTTTGAATTTTGGTTCCATTCTTATCATTGTAGTTGAATATACAGTGGACTTGGAGACATAGGCTCTTCTTCTCTTTGATTAACCCATTTGTTTGAGAAAATAATACAATAATAAGAAAAATGAAATTGCTTTGTCATATTTTGAGCATCAGCATTGTTATTAATTGTAAAATTTTCAGATTTAAACTTATCGAGGTTTATTATTTGTGCTGCTTAAAGTAAATCATGTTGTTTTAGAACATTGACAGACAAATACATTGCTAAGTTTGTCCTGTCTCTCTAACCGTCCTACATCCAGTATCCTTTCGTCTTTTTGTCGGATGGATTTTTCTTTGGGGTACTGAAATCCATTGCTGAATCAGCGGCCAGTGTTCCTAATTATATCCTAGAAATCCTTTTATTACGTTCAGGAAGACTTTTTATGCACGAACAACATTACATCTCATTCTCTTGTGCCAAAAATTCAGCAAATGGAATAGGAAATTCAATTCAGTTAGTTCATGCAGTTACCTTTGACAGATGACCTTGACGGGTAACATTTAATATGTTTTGAGTTCAAATTTTAATACTTACAATATTTTCTCTTATTCTCAAATTACAGTCGTTCTTTATACCCAAAAAAATATAACAGATGTAGAGTTAAGTCTTGGACTTATCATTTATAGTCACAATCACAAACAATAATATTGATCTAAAACATTTTTGAGATTCCCTCACAACCAAGCAAGTTTTATATTTTTAATTTCCTTGTTAAAAATCTGCTGATCCCTTCTCTAGTTCTCCGCAATCCATATTTGGTGTATCCTTGTGCATAGAAAACTTAGACCAATGGGAAGAAGCGAACTTGTAGATACAGGCACAGCTGGCCAGCTTTCATTTCTTATTTCTGAGAGTCAAAAGCTAAATGTTGCAGTATTCCAGGATTTTAAGTGGCTAGATTTCAATGTCTGACTAATTAAACACTACTTGCTTAAGGAGATTGCTAGAATTTCTTCTCTTTCTCCAGCTTTTAGAATATTCTGGTCGATCAAGTTTGATACTTTAACTCCAAAAGTCCAAGCAAATCACAATGCAAAAGTAAAGGGAATTTCATAGTATCATAACATCTAGATCTATGAATTTATTGTTGAATATTGATTTAAGGAGTCGTCATCAATCTTTTTATTTAGGTGCGATGAGTCACTTGATTGAATCTGTTCTTTTTTAAAGAAAAATCTTAAGTTTGACTTAAGTATTTTTAAAAGATAAATTCAATGTTTGCGAAATCAAAATTAGGTCCGGGAGTATAATTACGTGTGAAAAAAGTTATAACACCCCCACAATGCCCATCGAAAGATGGTACCAGTTCGATTTTGTGTTATCTGTTAAGCCTTAAAAACTTTACCAAGTAATTAATTATTGAAAATTATTCTTAATTAACTCTAATACTTTTGACAAAAAATTAAAAAAATTTCTTCACTTAAGAGTATATAAGAAAATTAATGTTTCTCTTGCAGATGCTCCGTCGTTAGATTATTTGACATTAAAAAAAAAAAGAAAGGAAAGGAAAAAAAAATAATGCTTTTGATAGAGATCCTTTTTTATTATGTTGTTTTATAAGAAAAAAAAACTCATGCTTTTATATAAGGAAAATTGATACTTTCAACTTTTCCTTAATGCATTTTGATAATTTTATTTAAAAAAAAAATTGATATTTTCAATTTTTTCTTAAAAATGTTTTTCTTGAAAATTTTATTTTCAAAGAAAATTGGTACTTTAAACTTTTCCTAAAAAATGCTTTATTAATACTTTCAACTTTTACTTAAAAATGCTTTTTTTGAAAATTTTATTTTCAAGAAAAATTGGTACTTTTAACTTTTCCTCAAAATATTTTTTTTGAAGTTTTTATTTTTTAAAAAAATTGATACTTTCAACTTTTCCTCAAAAATATTTTTTTAGAATTTTTGTTTTAAAAAAAATCATTGAAAATTTAAGGATGCTTAATTAAATAAATAAATTATTTCAATTTAATCAATAATAATAAATAAATAAATAATAAAACTAAATGAAAAAAAAAACTTTTGGCGCAGCTCGGCTGAACTTTATTGGGACGTGGCTCCAGAGATAGACGTAGCTGGAATGACTTAGTGTGCGGCTCGACTTAGCGGCTCAATAAAGGCTGAATAAAACGGGTAAGTGGGTCAATGCACTGTGGGTCCTGTCAAACCTTGGGTGATGAACAGATCTTGCCCATTATTGATTTCTCAAAATGATGTTGTTTCGTGTTGGTATAAAAGGCAAAAAAAATTCTTTTCCTCAAATGCATCTTCCCTTTTCTTTCTCTTATCTTCAATTTTTTCTATGTCTCTCTCTAGACATGAAGAATGTTGGTGAAATTCTTGTCGAATTTTGGGTTTTATCATCGAAAACCTAGTTTTTCGTTAGAAAAGTTACCGAAAAACTTGAATATTCAAGAAAAAATTCAACAAATTATGAAATTTCCCAAACATTTACAAAAAATTACAGAAAAATTCCCAAAAAAAAAAATCTTCAAATCTAAACAATATTTCCTAGAAACTTCCTACTGCAAACTATAGCTTTGAATTTTTTTGACTGCCTCTTATTTTCTCCTTTTTCCTCCTCATTTGTCATCTATCATTATTGGAGTTTATATAGGGCTACTCAAGGATTTAAAAATCAGAATCCTCTTATCCTTTCATCTGTTATCCTTTTTTTAAAAGCTTTTTTATCTTAATTTTAAAATTGAAATTCCTTTATCCTAGAGTTTTAATAGGATTGAAATTTTACTTTATTTTTATTCTTTTCTTAATTTTGATTATCCTTATTTGAAATTTGCCAAAAAGAAAAAAAAATCACAAAATGGGTGTCTACAGGTGCCTCTATTTGCATATTTTTTAGAAAACAGAAATTATGCAAAGACGTAAAAACCCATCATGACTTCATTCAAGAAAGAAAACACTTAGGCATAAATTGAATAGAATCCAAAATGGAATGACTCAAAGGTGGATCTGACATAGATCAAAATCTAAAATAAAATGACCTGGATTAAATCGAAGTCTGAAATAAATGGCTTGGACTGAATTGAAGAACGATCTAACACATGCTGAAATGACCTGGACTAAATCAAAGTTTGAAATGAATAACTTAGACTAAGTCGAAAAAAGACCTAACATAAGTCGAAACCCGAAAACAAAATGACCTGGACTGAACCAAAGTTTGAAATAAATAACTTGACTAAGCTGAAGAGAGATCTGACAGAGGTCAAAATTCGAAATAAAATGACCTGGATGAAACTGCAGTCTAAAAAGAATAACTTGGACTAAGTCGAAGAAGGATCTGACATAAGTCAAAATTCAAAAACAAAATAACTTGGACTAAATCGAAGTCTGAAATGAATAACTTGGACTAAATCCAAGAGAGATATGGCATAGGACGAAACCTAAAAATAAAATGACTTGGATTGAACCGAATTCTGAAATAAGTAACTTGGACTAAGTCAAAGAGATCTAACATAGGCTAAAATCCTAAATAAAATTACCTAGATGAAACCAAAGTCTAAAAAAAATAACTTGGACTAAGCCGAAAAAAGATCTAACACAAGTCGAGACCTTAAAACAAAATGACCTAGATGGAATCGAAGTCTGAAAAGAATAACTTGGACTAAGTTGAAGAAGGACTGGACATAAATCGAAACCTAAAAACAAATTGACCTGAATTGAACTGAAGTCTGAAATGAATAACTTGGACTAAACTGAAAAAAAATTTGACATAAATCAAAACCCGAAAACAAAATAACTTGGACTGAATCGAAGTTTGAAATGAATAACTTAGACTAAGCCAAAGAAGTATTTGACATAAGTCAAAACCCGAAAATAAAATGACCTAGACTGAACCGAAGTCTAAAATGAATAATCTGGACTAAGCTAACATACGTTAGTACAGGTTATATCAAAAGTTTAAAATAACTACTGCTTCATTCTTGATAACTCCAATCATCTGTGATGTTGAACACCTTCCTGTAAAAGTAAATGACATGTGTACAAGAAGTGCTACGAAATGCTAATTTTCTTAGAATGCCTATATGAAATGTTATGAGATGTTAGGCTTATCTGATTATGGTAAAAAGATTCTTAAGCTCTTTGATGTTTTTATTTTCACACCAGTGATGGATCTTTTAACTTCTGAACATATTCGGTTAAGGAATCAAACTATCATTGTTTTTTAGTTTCAACTAAACTGAGATCACCATTTCGCTAACTTTCCATTGCCTTCATTTCACTTACCCATGCCACTCTTAGCTTTTCAGAGTAATGAAGAGAATTTTCATATCATTATTTGTTCATTCATCATCATTTCAATATAATGACAGATGTAAGGTAAATGCACATTTCTTTTGACCCAAGTAAGGGGCAGACAAAAGAAAATAAAAATAATAAAAGAGGTTAGAGTTGACATCAAGAAAGAAATAAATTTATTAATTGAATGGAACTGAGTTTTAAAGATGGGCTAAAATGGGCTATCGGATAATCACGATTAAAGTAACCTGAAGCTCTTATCAAAAACCATCTAGCTGAAGTCCTTAATCCTATCTAGTTCATCAAATCACATTTGCCCCTTGCTATGAAAATAATGTCTTGAACCTTTATGCTGCCTTTTCGAGCTTTCACTTTAGATATCTTTTCTTGACTCAAGCTGCTCTTTGTGGGTTTTCAATTTGAACCCCTTTTTTTAGAACTCAAACTGCCATTTAGGGTTTTCAATTTAAGCTATTTTTTTTTTTTTGTTTTATTTTTGAACTTAAATGACCCTTTACGAGTTTTCAATTTGAATTTTTTTTATTGAACTCAAACTGCCTTTTACAGGTTTTCAATTTGAGTTTTTTTTTTTTTTTTGAACTTAAATTGCCCTTTATAGGTTTTCAATTTGAGATCTTTTTTTTATTAAAAAAAATACTTTTTCACAGCATCTAAATTTATTGGATCGGGCAAGTCTTCTCTATCCGTTTCTGTTAGGATTAAAGCTTCTCCCAAGAACACTTTTTTAACAACATATGGGTCTTCCCAATTTAGTGTCCATTTTCTCCTATTATCATGTTGATTTGAAAGAATTCTTTTCAGAACCAACTCTCTTTTGTGAAAACATTGTGGTCAAATTTTCTTGTCATGCACCCGCATCATTCTCTTTTGGTATAACTGACTATGATATAGTGTTGTTAATCTTTTTTTCTCAATAAAATTTAGTTGCTCGTAACGCTCTCGAATCATTTGACTTTTTCGAAATTGAATTCCCTTAAGATTCTCAAAGAAAGAATTTCTACTTTCACTAGTAACATGGCTTCCATCCCATAGACAAAAAAAAAATGGGGTTGCTCTGGTAGAGGTACGTATTGATGTCTAATAAGCATGCAAAGCAAAAGGCAACTTCTCATGCTAATATTTATGGTCTCAGTTATTTTTT